TGTGGTCAAAACGCAGAATGTCAAATAATTAACCACGTACCCATGTGTACATGTTCTAATGGATATACTGGGGATCCGTTCAGATATTGTTCATTTATCCAACCACAACGTAATTAAAAATTTTTTTATATATCTTATCAATAAATTTGAGCAGCTCATTTTTTTAATGATGATTATTTTTAAATTTTAGAAAATCCAATCGAACCAACTAATCCATGCAATCCATCACCTTGTGGACCAAATAGCCAATGCAGAGAACTCAATGGTCAAGCCATATGTTCATGTCTTCCAGAATATATTGGAAGTCCTCCTAGTTGTCGACCAGAATGTGTAATAAGTACTGAATGTAATCGTGATAAAGCCTGTATAGGACAAAAATGTAAAGACCCATGCCCCGGAATGTGTGGTTATAATGCCAATTGTCAAACTATTAATCATAGCCCCATTTGCACATGCACTTCAGGATACACTGGAAATCCATTTTCTCAATGCTATCAATTACCAAGTAAATAAACAACCTTAAAATCTTAATTTATTATTTAAATAGCATTTATCTCGTACTCATAAAATACGAGCACTTAATTAAAATGCAAATCATATATTTAATTATTTTTCAGAGCCTCAAATACAACAAACTCCACCAGAACCGTTGAATCCGTGTATTCCAAATCCTTGTGGATTATATTCAATATGCCACGATCAAGGAGGCTATCCATCGTGTTCTTGTTTACCTCAGTACACAGGTACCCCGCCAAATTGCAGACCCGAATGTGTTATTAGTGCTGAATGTCCAAGCAACAAAGCTTGTATGAATGAAAAGTGTAAAGATCCATGCCCTGGTTCTTGTGGACTTGGAGCAATATGTGTCGTAAACAATCATACACCTAATTGTTACTGCCCAAACGGATATATTGGAGACCCATTAGTTTCATGTATGCTAAAACCGCCACAAAATGGTTAGTATCTTATAACACACATACTAAATTAATATTTTATTGTAAATAATTCATAAACTCAAAAATAATTATATATTACTAAAAAAATTGAATAATTACTAGATCCAGAAATACCAAATATTGATCCATGCTACCCATCACCATGTGGTCCAAACGCCAATTGTAACGATGGAAAATGCACTTGCTTGCCAGAATATCAAGGAGATCCTTATGTTGGATGTAGACCTGAATGCATAATAAACGAAGAATGTCCTAGAAATAAAGCTTGCATTAAATATAAATGCAAAGATCCATGTCCAGGAACTTGTGCTCATAATGCAATTTGTGATGTGTATAACCATATTCCAATGTGTAGATGCCCTGAAGGAATGTCTGGAAATGCATTTATAGATTGCCAACCACAACAAAGTATTAAATAAAATAATATATAATAAGTTTGGCAATTTTAATTTTAAATTTGTTAATTTTTAGTTTCAGTACTACATGACTATTGTAATCCTTCGCCATGTGGTCCAAACAGTATTTGTCAAGAAATAAATCAACAAAGTATATGCTCTTGTTTAACTGGATACGTTGGATCTCCACCAACTTGCCATCCAGAATGCACAGTTAATTCTGATTGCATTTTGAGTAAAGCTTGTAGTAATCAAAAATGTCGAGATCCTTGCCCTGGAACATGTGGAATTAGTGCTAAATGTCATGTCGTTAATCATAATCCGATATGCAGCTGTCCTCCTGGATTTACAGGCAATGCATTTGTACAATGCAGTCAAATACGTAAGTTATAAATAATTTTACAAATGCTATGTTCATAAAATAAAAACTATATTGGACGGCTATACATGTTATATTATTCATTTTAGCAGTAATTGAAGATGAACCAGTTCAAAACACGTGTATCCCTTCACCGTGTGGCCCATATTCGCAATGTAAAGTACAAGGAACTTCTCCATCATGTTCATGTTTGCCTGAATATATTGGATCACCACCAAATTGTCGACCTGAATGTGTTAGTAATAGTGAATGTTCGTATAATTTGGCATGTATAAATATGAAATGTAAAGATCCATGTCCTGGGTTATGTGGAGAGAATTCCTTATGTCGTGTTATCAGTCATTCTCCAATGTGTTACTGCTTACATGGTTATACAGGAAATCCAATGGTTCAATGTGTGGTTCAACAAGGTATTTTTCATAAAATATAGAAATTCATTAGTTGATATTTGTAATCAATTATCTTGTATTTTAGATGCAGTTATAATTAGAGATGATCCACATCCTTGCACTCCATCCCCATGTGGAGCGAATGCCCAATGTAAAGAACAAAATGATGCAGGCTCGTGTAGCTGCTTCCCTGGATATTTTGGAAATCCGTATGAGGGTTGCAGACCAGAGTGCATTGTTAATACGGATTGTTCGCCTAGTAAAGCTTGTATACAATATAAATGTCAAAATCCTTGTCTCGGAAATTGTGGTTTAAATGCAGATTGTCAAGTGGTTTACCATGTCGCATCATGCATTTGTAATCCAGGTTACACGGGTAACCCATACCAATCCTGTAATTTCATAACACCACAAAGTAAGTTCATTATTATTTTTTATTATTATCGTTTAA